CTTATTTTAATTTCATTATATCTTAGTCCTTAACTTTAATTTCGGGTTATTCTTGTTTCTGGTACCTACATTATTTACTGTATTTGATTATGGATATGTTTATTTGTTTGTTATTTAGCTCTACAAGTTTCTGTTATTACAAATTTGGTCCTTAAATTTTCAAATGTGTTTATATGGTTATTTATATTTTGATGTGTAATGTTTTATTGTTTCATTTTAGTCCTTTAGGCATATATATATATTTCGAATATTATATATTTGCATGTAGTACATTAAATAAATATTATTTGACTTATGTGTTGTAAATATCTTATTTTACATTTACAATTGTATTTATTCTCATATTATCTTCGTATTTAGTAATATGTTATTCAAATATTTTTTTAGAGCGCGAATTTGTAGAACGGGCGTAGAGAGTATCACTTGATCGAAGTGGTACAATCTAATACGACGTTCAAATTAAATGGAACTTGAAATAAATCAATCTTAGTTTGTTCATTTTTATTTTATATTGATCAATGCAAGTTATGTATTTTATTTTTCGTACTGTCAATATTCATTTTTACATTTGACTCGTATTTTATCGACGAGGGAATATTCTTTTATGGATGAGAAATAGTCGAGTTAGCTTTCCCGATGGAGGATTGCTAATTTCGAGATTTCTTTTCGAGTTAAGGAATTTTCTCTAATTATTTAATTCGAAGCAAATTAATCAACGTTCGATAAATAGATCACGTTTTAACTTTATATTCGACTCATAAATTCCACCATTTACAATGATCTGTAAGCGACACAGTACCAATTTTGGGCGTTGCGGGGGTGCTTACCCTTCCTCGCACGTAACCGACTCCCGAATCCATTTAAATGAATCTTTGGTAACGCAGACCGAATCTTGTCTAAAAATGATTTTTCTTAAAATTGTTTTAAAAGACGTTTTTAGGTATTCGACCTACCTAACCCAAAGGTTGATGGCGACTCCATTTTTAATTTAATTCAAATCAATTCAAAATCACTCATTTTTTCCAATTTAAAGTCATAATTGGTTTTAAAAATAATATTTAATTGTTTTACAAAAAAAAAATAGTTATGACACAACCACGATCATAAATTCATAATTCGGAACCTAGATCCCTCACACCATTCGAATCATGAAAGGATACGATCGTAAAATCAAAAGAGAAACAAAAAGTTAAGCATAAAAAGTGAAAAATACACTCGGATCCGCAAGCCAAAGCTGAATTGAGCATGAGAAAATAATTACAGTAAAATTAAAAAGGAAAAATAAAACAATGACAAAATAAATGCGACAGAGATGAGAGAAGGGACCATCGCCATCCTTGTCGAATAGGCTAAAGGCCTCCTTGAACTCAGAGATCTGGTCGTCGGTAAGCTGATCGGTCATTTCTACTACTTCACTTAAGCTTCTCTTTTCCTCGGAAAAGAATCGAACAGGAAAATGATAGTGAACGTATAAGTGTATATAAAGGAACCAATACTGTAAGGCATCTGATTCCCTCTCATACGCAGCCATTGGCTTACTTTTTGGGGGACTTTATTACCAAATTATCCCCATTTTCATATTGATCCTTATTATTTGGGTAAAGTACACAAAGAGTCCCCTGGCTATAGGGTACTTCTTTATTAAGTCCCTCAACTATTAAAAGTTATAAAATGATCCTCTGACTATAGATTGTTGCATGTGTAATTATATCAAATTTTTAACTGCCATGTCATTTCCTGTTAAATTTTAACGATAAGTGACTTTATTGAAGCATTTAAATAGTTAGGTTATCTGATTGTCGATATCAAAACATCAGTGGTCAATATGAAAGGGGATAATAGTTGAGTGGTCACCAATGTAGTTTATCCAATAAATTAATAATTTTTTATGAAAAGACCTAGATCTAAACTCGCATGCAAACAACATTGCTCAAACCTAGATCACGTAGGAAATACAAAATTTCATTAAACCTTTAATTCTCTAATAAAATAATAACATGTGTTATCATCTTATCGGAAGAAAATAGAGAAATAATGAGATACAAGAATCAAATGAACCTTTTTAAGTAAATTACTCATGTGAACACTTAATTATGGATGATTTTAATCTAACCATCAATATTTTAATTAAATATTATCAATATTCTAAATGATGAATGATTTCGACTCTGATGTCGTACATGATTTGATTGACATCATTTAAATAATTAAATGATTGAAAGATCAATGTTTAGATTGAAATATCTTTATAATCGAGTGATCATGGGTGTAACTTACACTTTTTTTAGTATAATCATCATTATTCGATCTATTAGTTGACTAATATGGATAAACTATTACAGGTAGGGGTGTGTAAATTCGAATATCAGATCCAATCCGTTCTAAAAATTCGGATATTCGAGATTTCGGATAATTAAAATATTGATACGAATCCGATATGAAATAACTGGATATCCAAATTTTTAGATATTAGAATATCGGATCCAATTATATTAATATTTTTAATTAATATTTACATTAACAAAGCTTATTATATAATATAAATATATATAGTATTCCGATCACATTAAATATTAAATAATATTTTTAATTAATCTTTGTAAAATCTTGTATCCAATCTATTTTTTCGGATATTCGATTCGAATTATCCTCAAAATATCAAATTGGATATAAAAAAAATTCGAATTGAATCATAAGATAAACGGACCAAATTATTCGGATTGAATATTTGTACACCCTTATGAACATGACTTATTATGAGGCTTTCTCAACCAAATTTTCTCTTTTTATAACGTTAAAATTTGAACCTATGACCTTATGATGCAACACCTTATCCCACTTGTTCTAATAATGTTTTAATAAAAAACCATAATTGATTGTCCTGTCCCTCTTGATATGGGAAAATTGTAATAATATATTATAGAATAAAAGCTACAATATCAAGTTTAGTCCCTTTAAATTTTTGAAAGTATATTTTAGTCATCGAAATGACCGAATTTGAGGTTAGTCCTTTGAAAATCATATAATTATAAGTAACGATAATATTAACGATAAAATCAAAACAATAAAAGGAACAAGAAAAAGGACCTGGTAGATATGCAATTAACGTGTCGTCTGCAACCTGATGAACCTTTCAGTGGGCACATCGAACTCTTCGAAGACGACGTTTGGCTTCGAATCCATGTCTTGGGATTATTATCAAATTAACCCTTTGATCTTTTAAATCTTTTGATTCAACGTCTTCTGGAAATGAATACGAAAACTCTTGTTCTTGTTGGTTTTTATATACACAGAGGTGTCACTTTCAGTAGAATTATTCTTAGTTTTTCTTGTTTCTCTTGCATGGTATGATTGTTATCTAGGTCACAAAGATATAAGTAATATCTAAGGCGAAGCTAAGAATTTGAGTTCGGGTCGAGATGAAATAATAAAATTTTGATAAAAAAAAATTATCTCGAATAATTTGGAGTGATTACAAGATGTTATATATTTAGAATCTTTCTTAATTAATGAGAACACGCATCCTACAAACGTAACTTATTGAATCCATAATTTTATCGAGGAAAAACACTCTTTTTAATTACTAGTCCATTTCTTAGATTTATTTTAATTATAAAACTTAAAAAGTATAATATGAAAATATATAATAGGGATAAATCACATTTTAGCTTATAAATTTGTTTATTTATTTTTTTGTTGGTACCATTGGCGAAATTAAAGGGTAAAAGGGGTATATGCCTCAAAGTTTTTTTTGTCTAATATAATAATTTAGATTTTTATACATTTTTATTAATTTGGGGTAAAAATAATATATGTTCAAAGATACTCTACCCATCTCTCAACCATTTGACATTGAACGCTCACACCCATGACATTTCTGGTACTCGAGCTCGAGACCTTAAGAAATAACAACAATTCCTTTATCATCGAGGTCGCTTGGCTCGTACAAATTTTCATAGATATTAATAAGTATAATGTAAAAAAAAAAAAGTTTATAACGATCGATTAAATTGTTATTTTGATCATCATTCTATTTTTCAAGTATTTTGATTTCCAACACCTCATTTTAAGTAAACAAAAATTCCTCCATTGATAAAAATAGTTAGTCAACACTACAAAATACATATCTTTTGTCCCAAAATGAAATATTTAAGGCCAAAATACTCTAAAAAAATAGAAATTATTTAATAAAATATTATGAGCATTTTTTTGTCATTATACCATTTAAATATTAGATAATTTGGGTCTATCCTCAAAATTTTGAGTTTTTTTTTTCATTAGTCTTAGATGAATACTATGTATTATCTATTCAAGATTCTAAACCATTTGATATTAAACGCTTGGAGACGATGCATACGTAGTGTTTAGACTCGAATTTTAAAGAACAACAACTGTTTTTTAATCATTAAAGTTGCTTTGTCGATGCCAAAATTTTGAGTTTAAATATTATACCTTATATTTTTAATCCCTCTTAATATTCAATTCTAACTTTTATCCCTTGTAGATACCAAAGTTTTTCTTTTTTTCACATTTGCACATGAATTGTCTATTTTTCACATATTAGTACATAAACTTTTATTTTGATAATGATCTCATTTACAATTAAAGGAAAAATTGGCATGTATTGATGTGATTGGTGAGTGCCCAAAAGGCCAAAAGGACCTAAGCCATCATTGAAGATGACCCAAATTAGAGAGGACAACGGGTTGGATAAGGTCAATTTTTTAATTAACTCGATTTGATTTAAATATATATATATTTTATTTGAATTCGACCGAAAATTTTTTATAGTATTTATATAATTCAACCTGATTCGAAAAATTTATATCTTCAGCATGACTCTAACTTGACCCAATTTTTTTATAGTATAAATCTCATCTTAATTTATAAAATAAAAATTTAATTAAAGATATAATAAATTTTTAAAAAAAATTACATTATTATCTTAAATTAGACTATAATTTTTTACTATTCATCCATTCGGATCAAAATCCCACGGATTCGGGTTAAATTGTCTTCTCCCAAACCCTCAGACGCATCTTAACGGGAAGAAGGCGGAAGAATCTAACTGAGGGAGAAAGCGAGAGATTAATTTAAGAAAACAAAAATCTAGTGAAAGGAAAATGGTAGATTCATCATCATCAGATTCTTTCTTGAAGAAGAACTGGCAAGAATATAAAGAATTCTGGGCCGAGCGATTTCCATTTACCGATGTCTATTCTAGATTCATCCGCCGTGAAGACTCTCTTCCAACATGGTCTGAATCCGATGTTAATGAGTTCATCGCCTCTGATTCGGTCCACGGCCCCACCGTAATAATCTCTTCCACTTTCGCTCTTTTTTTTCCTTTCATTTTTTGTTTTTTTTCCGTATTGGGTTTCTTTGATTTAGTTCAAATTATAGCAAATTTAATCTTTTCCATCGTTGTTATTATTGAGAATTTTGTTTATCGATGGAGTTTATGTTTCAGAATTATGTCATGAAACCAGTAGTTAGAAAGGAAACTAAGGCTATGAATTTGAAGGAAGTTATTTCGGTGCTGGTGTAATTGGTAGGGAACCAGGGATGGACCTAAGCTGGGCTTAGAAATTTTGAATTTTTTTTTATATATTTAAGATATTTTTTTTATGTATTTTTACTGAAAATCTGTTTACATGCCTCTTAAAATCTTAGAAGTTTATCTTTCTTAAAATATTATAAATTTGCCGTTCCTAACATAAATTTATGCGTCATTCCCTAAAAAGAACTATGGGTGAACAACTGCTAAGTTTTGCCTATGGTTCTTGTTGTATCTCCTCCGGGTTGTCTCTACAAATCGAATTTCTGCTGCCTATCAAAGCTCCCGATAGAAGTCTTTGAAATTCTATATCCTTCGAAATGTTACTACTGTCAATTTTATCACTGGTTAAATATATTATATGACGGTCAAATCTACTCACTGTATCAATCTACAAATAACCATTATCATTCTAGGACATACTAGGACTAACACTAATTCTATAAGGAGATATAAGTAGCCATACAAAATAGAATAACTCTCCCTCTTTTCTCTCGGAATCTCAACCCTCTCTATTATTCATCTTCTTCCTCGTATTATCATCTCTTCCCCTTTCACATAGTCATGGGCCGTGACTCTCTATTCAAATTAGAAGGGGTGATCCGGCCTCAGCCGTTGTGTCGTGTATTTTACCATCAACACTTGTCCCACTACTTAGCTGGTGTCGCTTAGCAGCTTTGTTTTCCTTCTAATATATATATATACATATATGTATGTATACAAGAACATAGCAGTCCCCTGAAACTTCTAGAGGCTAGAGAGTTGTGGGTTATCCATTTTTTAGCTCGTAGCTTTGGTTTTAGAATTCCCGTAGCTGCTAGATTCCGCCTTCAGTTGTTTCCTCGCATACATTGCTGTGTTTTCGTTCTAATATGAACACGGTGTTGCCCTTCTATGTGATTTTATGTTGTTTGTTTTAAAATGTTAAAACTTGAAAGTATTATTGAAAATGGATTGTTTTTTTATTGGCATACTTAAAAAAATACTCATAACGTTGGACTAAATAGTCACTTTAATCCCTATTCTTTTTTGGAACATTTTGTTTCTCCGACATTTCATTTTAGGACAAAAAGACCCCTCTATGAGTGAAAATTGTTAGTTAACAAACGGTTAACGCTTCAAAATAAGAGTTTTTTTCTACTCTAAAATAAAACGTTGAGGGCCAAAATATTAAAAAAAAACTAAAGTGACTATTTAATTAAACATTTGGAGTCTTTTTACCCTAAAATGTAACGTTAGTAGGCTAGAATGCTCCCAAAAAAAGGGCCAAAATGACCATTTTGTTAACTTTGGGGGACTAATTTTAGCATTATACCATTTTTAATTGATTCAAAAGTTTATTGTGCAAGTTCATTGTTAAAATATCGAATGTCGTCTCCGTATGGTAACCATATGCAGCTAATGCAATTGTCATTTCATTGCAGTAGAAATTCTCAAATTGTTTGGATTTCATTTGTTTCCTTTTTCAGTTGAAGACTGCTAGGGAAGCTGCAAACACCGCCTTGGCAGGAAGTGCTATTGGAGCTGTCTCAACTGCAGGCCTTGCCTGGAAATACTCAAGGAGTTTACATGGTAACATGCTCTTCTTATTCTCTTTGGTCTCATTTTTTGTTATATAAGATAGTGATGTAACTGCCGATATCTGGTTCGGTCTGAATACCGATCGAAATCCCAGTTCCTTTTAAGAACTAGGGGAGTGTATGGGTGGAAGATCCTTCCATACATTGCATTATTAGGCCAAAACACAAATATTCAAAACTATAAGTAGTTTGCGTATGTATTCGAAGAAGTTTACTAGGCTCTTGTTTTCAATGAGTCGAAATCCCTAGTGCTTTTCTGTATTCTCCTCGTGAACTGAAGTTCTTTAGTTTCTTATAAGTTTCTGTGTCTCTTGGTGGCCTGTCTAGGTCTTACTAGTATCTTTCTTTTCTAGTTTCAAAGCACTACCAGTACTAGCATAGTCCGGCTTGTTCCAGCTCATGGTTTACACTAATACAACTGAAGTAGATCTGTAGGAGACAAGATGAATGGAAAAAAAATACGATTAGCCCGGTTTTCCGAATACAATAACAGAAAGACTAGGAAGTAATAATCTTTGTGCGTTGAAGAACATGTTATGTTGCAATTTTACTGCTATTATAAGTCAGTGTTAGACCTTGATTCGACTAATATTAAGAGACGAAGGAAGTTATTTTAAGCTTCTTCACTTTGGTTTCTCGGATACAAGAACACGAAATAACTTGGAAGGTCATTCACAAGGCGATTTTGTGTGTTATAACTCGGGTGTTAGAAGTGATTTGATTAATGTCATGAGACATGAGGAAGTTATTTTAAGCTTCTCAACCCGAATCTTTTCAGGTGCCGGACTGGCTTTCTTAGGAGGAGGCGTTTTTGGCTGGACATTCGGACAAGAAATCGCAAACCACTGGTATCAACTCTACAGGTTGGACACAATGGCTGCACAAGTCAAATTCATGGAGTGGTGGGAAAACAAGTCCCAGAGGTGATCGTAAAATTTATTGTGCCATTGAAAGCGAAGCCTGTGCTCGGTTTCCTTTTGTTTAATAACGGCGACATGTCGAATACATAATGTTTGGTTCGATGCTGGTAAACTTTTTTTCTTCTTTTAGAAGCAACTTGATGAAACCAGTTGTCCCAATAAGTTTGCTGCAGTTCTATCACAATTTGCAAATTATTTGAAGTTTTGATTTTGTCCATTTTGATAAGACTATTAATGAATATAGTTTCACCTAGAAGAAAATGTGTAGACATGATGCTGACGGAAAGAAAGTTGAAGGGCTAAATTGATAAAAAAAATTAATAAAAGGACTAAAATGAAAAGGCTAAAAGTAAATATTAAGCCCGAATCAAACTGGATTCCTTTAATTCATACCGTTCTTATTACTATAGAATGGGGATGTGAATTTTGCACGTAATTTCCTTCAATCAAAGGTTTGGTGGTATATCGAGAGAACATACGACCTAGTAGGGGGGGGGGGGGAGGGGGGAGCGGGCCTCCGGCACCAAGGCTGGTGTCGGCCAGCCGATCTACCGAAACAAAGCTTATTCATGAATAAAATTCCAGCATTCTTGGCAGGTCCAACTTCATAAAGATACATAAAGAAATACGACCTAGTACGAGAGGGGGGAGGAGCCGGCCTCCGACACCAATGCCAGTTTCGGCCAGCCAATCTACCGGAAAGAAGCTTATTCATGAATACAGTTCCAGCATTCTTGGCAGGTCCAACTTCGTAAAGATACATAAATAAATACAACCTATTATGAGAGGAGGGGAGCCGGCCTCCGACACCAAGTCCGGTTTCAGCCATCCAATCTACCGGAATGAAGCTTATTCATGAAACAGTTTCAGCATTCTCGGCAGGTCCAACTTCATAAAGACACAAATAAATACGGCCTAGTAAGAGAAGGGAGAAACCAGCCTCCGGCACCAGGGCTGGTGTTGGTCAGCCGATCTACCGAAAGGAAGCTTATTCTTGAATACAGTTCCAGCATTCTTGGCAGTTCCAACATGATAAGATTTAAGAGATAAAACGAAAGATCCATAAATAAATACTAAACATAATATATGTGTGTGTCTGTATAATATTAGAGAATGATAGCCACATGGAACCAAAAATCATAGCTTTAGACAGGAATATATGGATACTGAAATCGAGCGAAACTTTGACATCTTAGCCTACCTTTGATGCTGAAACACTTTCGGTTGATGCAATAGCTGAAGCGATACTTATTTGGATGATGAACTCGTAGCACATGAAGCTTGCACGCTGGTTCCGGTCAAGGGAGCTTCTCCATCTGTGTCTGATATCTGGTGGTGATTTGGTTCTGGATTAGAACTATTCTCTGAACTGCTAGATACGGTAGCCGTGCTGGTTTCATGGTTATTTGGTTCTGGATTAGAATTATTCTCCGAGCTGCTTGATATAGAATCGGTGTTGTTTCTATTATCTCGGGTTTCTAGACGTTCCATCATGCGAGAGACTGTTGCAATCCCAGCATTAACCTCTCTCTTAACTTCAGAACCGATATCTGCCATGGAAGTGTTGCGGGAGAAAAATCTCTCTTTCCAGCCCCTTGTATTCCTTGAAATCGACTCTTTGTATCTAAAGAGATTCGTAATTCAAAAAAAGGCACAAACTTACATAATGAACCATGTAAAAGGAAAAATCACAAATGTCTCCATACGACATATACCTCGTTGAAACAGCATTAAAGCGGGATTTTAGTGATTCAGAAAATGATTGAACGTCCGATGGTCTGGCTCTATCTTGACTATTTGGAGAAGACAGAGTAGGAGACCTCCTGCAAGATAGAAAAATGTGTTTTAAGTAAGTCTACCGGAGAGAATTACCTAATAATTGGAAAATAAGGAGAATCAAGGGAATAGCAAGAACCGGGTATTTGAGGAATTCCCTTGATCATTGACCGAAAGAGCACTGTCGCCAGATGCCGAGGCAGACTGGTGATCAACTACGACGGAAGGTAGAGGAGTAATTGATGCCGAAGATTCTCCCCCCATTGTTCTTGCAGGAGAGGATGGAGTTCCAACAATGATTGCGGGGGCAGGTTCACCTTCACTTTGAGTTGGAGATAACGAAGATACAGGATCGGTCGATGAGGGTTCATTCGAATGAGAAAATACCAACTGCGGCCGACGCTCTGGTGCTGATGACCTATTCCTCAGAGCTTCTCTTCTTGAAATGTGGCGTGCTCGCCCCATTGCAGCAGCAGCAGCCAAGTGCTGAATTATGTGCTCCTCGAGCTCTGTCTCATTCACTCCCACTGGTAACTGCATTAAATGAAATCCCGATGAGAATGGCTTGGGTTCAATTTATTGATAACATAATGAGGATGCTACACATCAGGCTAGCAGAGAAGAAATACAAACATGTTGTAGTTCGAAATCCCCAAGAGTCGGATGACGAAATATGGTAGCATTTCTCGAGGGGTTGAACCTGAAACTCCTTTCCCGTTTAACAGCCTCAAGCAGCTCCTGGCTGCCATAGTGAGAGAAAATCGTTAATGTAATATGAACGACAAAAAGAACCAAACCGGATGAAATGCCAACCTGGTAGGATCTTTCAGGCTAATTGGCTGCCAACACATGGGGCATTGAGAACTCCTTTGACACCTGCAAGGAAAAAACAGTAAAATGACAAATTAAGGTAATAATGTTATCTTTTTGGTATGTAGATGAACTCTGCCGGTAAAATTTTTACCGGTTTCATAAGTCTGGTCGATTTGGGTTTTTTTTATCAAGCAGATAGAGCTACAATGAAAATGAAACTAATATAAACTTCAACGAACTCGATAAAATGGATACGGGTTATACTACCATTCAAGGATGCACTGAAGATGGAACTCGTGCTTGCAGCCGGTCACCTGTAAGCGCCACAGCCATAGTCGATCAAAGAAATGTACATTCACATATCAAAGGAACGAGAATTGATATTCTTAAAGATGTATACCGTGGAGGGATCGCTTTCACAGAATACTTCGAGGCATATACTGCAGGCATCATCACAAGCATCCTGGATTCCCCCTTCCACAAAAGCCGCGGCTGAGGTTAAACCTGCCTCGGAACCGATATCTTCCATCCCCTACATAGGCCAAACACCGAAATAACAGATTTCGATTCCCAATTTTCCAAAGATAAAACAAACAGAAAAAAGAGGCTAAATCATGTCCTAAGCACCAAATGAAACCGACTGCGACCAGTAAACAAACAGTTCATATACAATCAAAAGGAATCTACACCTTCACCACACTAATCAAATGCATAAAAATGGTGAAATCAACGCCCTATTAACAAAGTATCAGCAAATTAAGCATTGAAACTTTCTTTAAAAAGGTTAAACTACGCAGAACCTCCAAAATTCACAATATCAAATCACCCAATTTCCCCCAAAAATTCTTAAACTTTGCCTCGATTTTCTCACCGATCAAACAGCAGGGAAGAAACCCAGAAAACAAAATCAAAGAAACACCCAGAATTCAGTTTACCTCCAAAGAAGAAAAACAACACGGTAGATCGGTTAATAGAACAAGGGCCAAAAGACCGTAGTATTTTTTTTTGGTGGATTCGGGTAAAGGTGAAGACTTTGAAATTGGGGTTGTTTGGGAAGAATCGCTGAAAGTGATGACTTCGTGGGGGGAAAAAACAAACCAACCTGCGGGGGTCGGGTTCGGGTCCAATGGCGTCTGTGATACTGAAACGTGGCAAATATACTGTAATATTCTTGACCATTCATTCATTCATTATTTTTAAATAAGTATTTAAACTTTTTTTTTTAATTCATTCATATCTCTAATATTATAAACTTATCACTTTAGGTGCTCAATCTGACATTAAAAATACTATTAAGTGATACATGTCACGTTTTTTATAATTTTGAGATTTTTTAAAAAAAATAAAAATTATATTATATTATAAAAAATAACTCTAATTTATCTTAATTTACAAAAAAAACCCAATCCCTAACTCTAACCGTGCGACATCGTCCTTGTCGGTTCCCGCCGTCGACATCATTCTTGCCACCTTCATAGTAAGATGTTGTCACCTTGTCATTGATTGTCCACCGAGATCACGTAGGGTTGTGATTTGTAGCATCGGGGTTTATTAGGGTACACACGTCGATTGACTGTTGATTGAATCTTATTCCGGTGGCTTCTAATGGGGTTGTCGGTTATTGGATGGAGGTGAAGTTGGGTGGAGGTTTATCGACGAAAAAGGATTGTGTTCAATGTGGATTTAGGGTTGAGATTAGGATTTTCAAAATTTTGTTTTTAATTATATATATATTTTTTAATTTTATAATTTTAAATATATATATTTTAAAATTGTCAGAATGTGTCACATATCGTTTAAAGGCAGAATTTAATAACCGTTATGGTCGAGACACTTAAAATTATAACATTTGTAACATTAGATATTTAGATGAATAAAAAAATGGACATCTATTTGAAAAAAGAGATATAATTTAAACACTTATTTTCTAATTAAGCTATCTTTTATCAAAATTTTGAAATTAATCATTCTATTATAAATTAAACTCTTTGCCAACAAGTGTTAGCACAAGTAGTTGAGATTCAAAAATTTGAGTTTGTAGGGCCAAGTTCGAATCTCATCACCGTCACTCTTTGTGGGTAATATAAATCCCAATTGGGTCATAGGTATACCCTGACCTTGGACGGGGGAGCCCACCCTTGACCTAATTTTTTTTTATAAAAAAATATAAATAAATTAAATTAATTGATATAGATTTAAACACGCTAATTTAAATTAAATTTAAAGTACAAAACAAGTTGATTTTGAATCATAATTGACTCAAATTTAATATATATATTTTTATTTAGAATAGATCTAATTAATCAAATTTGACTCGAACCAAATTTAATCAAATACAATATAAACTTAAATTGACTTAAATATCTAATTGTTACCTCCAATATAAATATATCAGTTATCAATTGATCTAACCAAATAAAATGTTAATTTTTTTTTTAAAAAATGAAAGTTTAAGATAACTATTGTGTAATAAATCTATGTAAGATTTGATATGAATTAGTCATTAATAGATTAAATATTAATAACATTAAAAAATTTTACTTTTATTTTTATTTTTATGAAGTTTATTTGTTTTTAATATTAATAATATAACATTTATAAATATACAAATTTTATTACAAATTCAAATATTCTTTATATAAAATAAGTTATTAATTTTTTTTTATTTGACTAATATATATATGTATATATATATATATATATATATCAGATCGAATCAGATGAAGTGTTAACTTTATCTAAAAGTTTAGATCAATTTTCGAGTCCGATGGAACTACCTTAAACTCAATTCGGATCATGTAACCTTAACCGTTATAACAATTTGCATCTTCAGATACCAAAATGAAAATAAACTAATAATTTTGGGGGCCAAATATGCATTTAACCCAATTGCTAATGCCTCTAAAACATCTGTTAAGATAAATCAACTTATCCTTACGCACAGGAATAGTAATGATAAATGCATTGCTTGACTAAAAAATAATTAATTGGAGGATCCTAACTCAGAGAGCATGTTGCTTGAAATGCCTCTCTTACCATCTAACTCAACCAGAAAATTTCGAACACTCGACGAAAAATTACTAAAACACGACATGGATACCCGAACGGTCTACATAATACAAATTATTCAAGTATCGAAATTTATATAAAAATATATCTTAAACACGATTATGACACGAGAAAGAAAAACCATAAACACACGACGGTACACGAATTGCCCAAGTCTACTTGCAACCAAAGAAGCATGCCAGTTTCCAACACTAACTTGATTAGAAGTAGAATTGCCAGGGTCCGTTACGATCGAAATGGAAATCGGTTCCATTTCTAACTACCAATGAAACCCAACCTGTGAAGAATCACTGCCAAGATGAGCATGCATATTGCCAGAATCATACCGGGTTTCCCGAGCAACCAGTTCTTTGCTTTCTTTGCACCTTCGGCTCCTCTCTGGATCCTATCCATCCAGCGCATCTGCCACAATTACCGATGGAAAAAGTTAGTGTTTCGAGGCAAAGATCTGCTAACATGAGAGGACAGAAAATCCACCATAATCGTCTAAATCAGCGACCTTAGCACAGAAGATGATGATAATGATGATTAGTAAGCCAATTAAGAACGACTACTACCATATATTACTCTGACATACGTCTGGGTGCCGGATAATACGAGTTCAACACAAGTATGTTCAAAACATTAACGTTTTTGCACGTATTTGAAAGGGTATTTGGAAGGTCATAGGTGTAGGACCTATGTGTGGGATGTGAACACTGGGAGAGAATATTTCAGGAAAATATGAACAACAGTTCAATCAATGGAACATTTCAGATCCATTAAACTTCTGTTTAAAGTATGACGATGACAATTTCTACCAAGTACTAAATAGAAAAAAAATATAAAACCAGGTTAATAAATGTACCATTTTATCCAAGTCCTCGGGTGATAAAGATGACATAGCTTGTTGAGCTTTTTCAGCATCTTCCCGAGAAAGCTTCAATCCAAATTGTTTGCTCATGTTTGCCATCATATCTGGACTCATGTTTTTCATCATTGATGCGAACATCTGCTCAGTTCACAAGTAAACATTAACCGACTCGACCTAGGTGTAATGCAAGATTTATTTATGAAGAAACTATTGCAATTGACTCTATCAGCTATTGCCTATACAGGTTTAAACTTTTTATAGGTTTAAATGTTAAAAAGAAAAAAATATTCTAGCAAAATAGAAAAATATTAATACCAAAGAAATAATTGTAAAATATATTTGTCATACCTGCCGCATAGCTGGATCTTTCATTTGGTTTCTCATCTGTTCTTGCAGATCAGCAGTTGATGTTGGAAAACTTGACTCAGCCTTCCTTGAATTTGGAAAACAACTAGAACTAGAAGCTCCGGTTTCACCAAAACCATTATTAATATTGGTGAAGGATGCTGTCTGAGATTCGGGATATTTAACTTCAGCATCTGAATCTAGTCTGTTATTGTTTACAGCCATTGCTGTGGGAATAGAGTCTTTCCCTTTTAAAGAAGCTGCCATTTCAAACATTTTTTGAAGCTCCTCTGAAGGCATCTTGGTCATCATATCAGTTGCAGTTTTAAGCATGTCAGGTGTCACATTTGAAGGAACGGAACCAGATCTAAATCCACCTGTATGTGGGTTTTCAGTCGGAAATGAAGAAGCCAATTGAACCATTCTTTGTAGCTCTTCAGGTGACATCTTGCTGATCATATCTGAAGCAGTCTTGAACATGTCTGGTGACACCTCTCCAACTTTACCGCCACTCATAGAAGCAAGGGTGTCAGGATCGGCACTAGAAATGAAATTCTGAAATGACCTGCTAATTAAAATTGGGAATAAGAGAACTCAAAATTTCAAGGACCTCTAAACTAACTAATAACAGAGCACAAAAAAGTTGCAAAAGTACAGGACAAGTAGTTTCATTTGGAAAGGTAAGGGAAAAAAAGATTTGAGAAGTGAGTTTGGATATGTGGTTGAAACAATGCCACACTTGTTTCCTTTTAATCTTCCAATTTTTGCTTCTAGCAGCAATAACCATTTTATGTTCATACTATCATGCGATTACTATAAATTTATGCTACTTAGAATTCATAGCCAAAGTAAGGAGAAACTAAAAGAGGATACAACATTACCAGACTAAGCAAATGAAGATCACTTATCAGGCAATTTTGAGATAATGGAAACAAACCTGAGTGAGTCTGGATCCTCCTTCAGAGCCTGCAGACAGTCGGAATTGATTCTCAAGTCCCCAACATTTTTCACACTCTCACTCTTAGAGAATCCATTACTTTCTCGTGGTTGTTTCAACAAAGGTTCAGTAGATGGACTTTGAAGATTAGAAGAAGAGGTGCTTGCAGGTTCTTCAATTATTTCTTCAATTACCAGTCCTGAAAAATAAGGAGAAAACAATATGAACTTCAAAGATATACAAAAGAGAAAGACAGAAGCCTAAGGAAAACGCATAATAGAGGGCGAGAAACTTACCCCTGGGTGCTTCATGACTGCCTTCTCTAGACAATCTTTCCTCAGCATCCCTGCATCAAAAATTGACATCACTAACCACCAAGAAGCATTCAACAAAAAACATATTCTCATCAATTTTATGAAAAATATTTAATAACTAAGCAGCATACCAGGTGAATCTTATCACAATGCTTTTTCTTTTGCAAAAGTAAAGAAAGTATAATAAAATGTGTCTATCGTATCCTAACCAACAATGGTCATGATGGGCTGATATTGGTGCATAAACCAACTTTATAAACGAATGTAGCTGAAGGAAACTTAAGATGTGTTACCAAAATCTTAATTCAAAAGTGTTAATACCTCAAGACATCGGCAATCGTTTCATCATCAGGTGAAACTTCGTGTGCTTTTCTCAAGTCTGAGACGGCATCCTAATAATTTCAGAAAAGGTATTCCCAAATTTGAAAATGTACCAGAAATGCAATTCAACAACCATTGACAAAATCCATATGCACATAGAACTCACTTCTAATTGGCTTATTTCTTTATATGCTTGACCTCT